ATACGTGTTCGGCTTTTATCTGGTGTGTTTTCGATATTTATAAATTTGTATAACACCTTTTTCATTTTTCCCCAAATTTTACTAATTTTGTTTGTTATATTGTACAAATTATTACTATAAGTCAATTTGCGTGTATCTTCGACCAACTTACAAAACTTCACCTATGACGGACAAGGCTCCAGGTAATATTTCATATTTTTAATGATAAAATGGTATAGGAATTTAAAATGTCATCAGATTATTATTATGCATAATATGTAAATGGAATTAAAGCGTCCGTTTGTTTTTTTTATAGGTCTATTAAGGAAAAAAAACGATACCAGTTAAAATAGTATTTATTAAATTAATATCGATTGATTCTCTAAATATTGTACGTAGGTACAAGTTATAATGATTCATAATAATGATAGATTTTTATTTATTTCCTAAACATGGTCCTGCTCACTTTTACTTAGGCTAGTAGAACATGCAATTTGTTTTAAGGAAAAAAAACATTTAGATACATTTGTAACTTACTATTATAGTGAAAAAAATTGATTTTCGAATGAACACTTAATTATAGTGAGGTGTTTTGCTCCGAATGGCTTTTGAATTTTGCTCTGAAGACCGACATAATAAAAGTGAAGACTGAAGGTGGTCAACTACCGGGAAAAAAACATTTTCAACGGTGGCAATTTCGTGTATTTTTTAAAGTTATGAGTGAAAATATCGGATCGTATACACTTGTCCAAACAATGGTCCAAAAAAACATAATAATATAATATTATATAATATATAAGTATCTGCTGCTTTTACATAAGGATTTTTCAATGCGTTTTTATTAAATATCAGTTGAAAATTCAATTGTATTCAGTTATTAGTCTAAAACGTTGTCAATAATTTCACCGGCGCACAGGTATGTCCAAGAATTTTGGTTTAGGTTTCACATTTTTCCATCGAAATGTGGGCAAAAAAAATTCTCCATCAATTGGTGCAATAACCAGTTACGTATGAACGTATTCTGTTGTTGCGATTAAAAAAAAAAAAAAACCAGTGTTCAATGAAAACATTTTTTTCGGAGGGAGCATTACTAAAATTTGTTTTGCTTACCTACTGCCTTATTAAAACCACTGAAATTTGTGTAATTATTTATTTGATTATTAAGTTACCCACATTTAACAGGGAAGGACAAACAAAATTGCATACATTCGAATTCAACACTGAAAAAAATAACCATTATTTAAGCATGGAAACTATTATTGTGTTTATTTTATTAAACAATTAAAATTTCCTATTCATATAATTATCTGAAATGGATCAACGCATCAACCAATATCATAATACGTCAACGTTTTAAAATTTTACTAATGTATAAAAAAACAATTATGTTACAATTATTCAAACTCGTAATTTGTATAATGTATTATATATTAAGCCTTGATGAATTCGAAAAAAATTATACCCGATGCATAGGTATTCGAGTTGAGTTATATTATATTTAGTTTCGATGGATTCAGTCTATCATTAATTATATAGTTTGTCCATTACCTAAAATTGTACATAGTTTACGATGCTGCGGATATGTTTACGTTGGTCGTAGCGTGATGAAAGCTCCTTGGGTGTTTTCGACCTCTGGCTCGTGGCTTTAACGGTCCGCAAGCCAGTAGGTGTGCCACTGGCGTGGTATTAGTTTACCCGTAAGCACGGATATCATCTCAACATATTTTATAAAAATCATAATTCAAAAGTAAGGAAATTAATACACGTAACAACTCGAATGACATTCAATTCGTATGTCTATGGATCGGGTACAATTTTCGAAACTCGTAAATGCTGAATACATAATAAACAGAGTGATTTACCCCAGATTTTTTTGTCATATTTTCGAATATTTAGATTTTTCAAAACATTTAAGGAGTATCCCGTAACGATAACAATTTATTACCAACTATGGTTTTTCAAATGAGAACGTATATTAAAAATTCCATAAACAGACGGAGTATTACTTTAAATACATTTTAGCGTCAATATTTATGATTTTCGTCAACCCGTTAACGAGATGATCCGCTTTTAAGTTTAAGTTGGAAAGAGTATAATTTGTATGACGGCACGAGGCGTTTTATGAGTGCTCCACTACTGTCCTAGATTTCCTTTTAGAAATGATCCTTACATTGTAAATTGGAGCCAAATAATTGCTTGTAGAAAAGTTGTTCACTGGAAAAAAAGCGAGAATATTTTTTAACCAATACCTACATTTCGTACATTTTCCTCTTTTTCCTCAGTTATTTTTTTTTTGTTTTGGTTTTTTACATTTAATAATGTGTAAATTATAGTTGAGTCATGCGTTAAGTTTCTAATATTATCATTATCAAAAAAATCGAACGTTTATACTTTTTTTAATGAATTTCAATAGTTTAAATGATATTATATACATATATACCTATATACATTTATGTAGTATTTGACGATTTTACCGCTCTCGTCACGAGTGGACGACAACCGAATAAGTGGTGTATTTGGACGAGACTAGGGCAGGGTATGTTTTACGCCCCGCCACTTCTTGGTGTTAAAAACAAGTCACCGTTTCGTCGGAATCAAATCCAAAGTAGGCAAAATATCCCGAAATTGTATATTACAACCGAAGATTGAATTTATTTAGTAAACCATGCAAATGATTGCCATCTAGTTAGCTGTGTTATAAATGTGACCGTTTCGAAAAAAACTGTGTTATAAAAACATATGGTATACACGAGTAGTATGGATTTCTCGTTGGAGTAACTAACAAAGAAAAATAAAACCTTAGACAGATTTAGTCTATTATTTTATATATATGTGGTCGTACATTAATAATCTCTACGGCCACGACACCGTCGTCTTTTATGAACTGTAATTATTACGTTTCATTAGCATGCGGTTTATTTTGTTATTATTATGTTTATTATGCGGTTTTCAAGTTGGTGACCCTCGCAGATAGATTTCAGCCATTATTGTAACGTTTCGCGCCGCTCAAGACGGCCGATCCAACGGTGTCCGGAAAATACAATGTAGTCGTCAAAAAAAAAAAAAAACGTATTAACTAGAAACCTATACATTCGTTGCCACTGACGTTGTCTCCTCCCAGTCGGCCGCACAATCACTTCGTGACTTGGTCGGATGATCGGGACCAAAACCCATCGCGTGGCGGGTCGAAATATGTTAAGCAGACGGGTAGACAGGTCGGTAGGTCTGTGCCTGCAAAGGTAATCGGGGTCGGAGAACCGCAAATCAGCCGCCGTCGTTCCGATCAAACCTTTCAGCTAATTCTAGTCGAACCCCTCTCGATCGGAGCGATCGCGGGACAACACCCGCTCGGCTTAGTAATTAAAACTTTACATACATGATAACTTTATCCTTTGTCCGCCAAAGACAGGGTCGCGTATCCCGGCAGTGAACAGTTAAATGGCCTTTCGGATTTCGTATAAAAACTTTGAATGTCATCGCGCGCCGTTTCGATCACTCCGGTACATTCCGGGTTTGTAAACGCGCGCGCATATGTCGTCGTGTCTCGAATAATTAAAAATGTATTACCGTGCACGTGCGTTTTTTCCTCTCCGACACGAAACCCATCGCAGTCCCGCCGCGCCAAGTCTTCGTCCGCGTCCGCGCCACGCGGAAGACGGACCGCCGAAATTGGGTCATCGCCGTCCGCAGGGCGGCGGGGTTGGCGCACGCGTGGCCACCCGGCCGCACCGCTAGACCGCGCGCGCGTCCTCGCGCGTCTCCGCGTCCACGATAAACGCCGCGCCGCGCCGCGACATCCCGAGCGTTCCCGGCAGTCTGCCGCGGACCACTCATCCCTGCCATTTGCCGTGTGTACGCGTCTAAACGCCGTCGCGCGCGCGTCGTCGTCGTCGTCGTCGCCCCCGCTCACGAGATTTCCCGCGTGACTGCCTATACTTGTACTGTTTTAACATATTACGTATAATATTTAATTACCGTTGTTATTAATTGTTGTTTTTCTTTCTTCCCCCTTCCCGCCAATTTGTTTTGTACCCTTATCGTCTTATTTGTAACCGTTTCAACGCTAGTCATCCCGTTACCGTACACAATCGTAATATTTCTATACCTCCGTCACTATTTTACTTACCTACCGTACATATTATAGTTTACAATACGATATTATCAAAATATTGTTATTGTTGTTGTTGTTGTTGTTTTTATTATTGTTTTTGAATTTACCTTCCGACCGCCCGGAACCGCGTTACGTACCTGCTCGACCGGTGTTCTAAACGGTTCTAAACGGCAAAAACGGAATACAGAACTTTCGGACGTGTTTGGTTTTTGGTTTGTCCGTTCTTCTTCACGCCGCCGCCGCCGCCGCCGTGTACTGTTTGTTCGTTTGTTTGAAAAACGCGATCGGAAGAACATATTTAAACGAATATTTTGTTTTCGATATAATACCGTCGAGAAATTTCGTGTTCGTCTCGTGGACACACTTATGTGGACGCAGTCGGGGCCCCGACTGTCGGTCGTGGACCTGAAACCGGTTTCGCACTGGATGGAAACGGCATCAATGCCGCCAACTTTACCGGAACACAGGTCAGTTATAGTTTTTTTTTAGATTCATTGTTACAATTATTATATTATTATACTTAATGTGTTGCTGTACTCGGTCTGCAAGAACACGTGTAGTTTAGTTTGTTTGCTAACCGCCAAGTAAAGTTTATTGGCCACTCTCCATACCAGTGGCGGCTATCCTCAAAAAAGAATATGTGTTGCTGAGGATATTAATGAGGGCCCACCTATCCCATATTTATTTATAGCAGTTATAATAGTTTACATTTTATATTTAATATAAAACTAGAGAATGTAAAAAAAACCCCGGAGTAAAATCAACCCCGACATTTCACCACGTCATGTGTGCTGCTGACCGTGGGATAGCCGCCATTGATCTATGTTATAACAACGTTCACATCGCTCACTGTATGGTTGTATGCATATCGTGTAATGATATCATGTAATCGTGATTTTACATCACCCGAAGACGAAATGTATTTTGGAAATTTCGATTCATAAATGTCCAATATGAAATAATTAATGTGGTACGATAGTTTACGAAAATAAATCGAACAAATATCACGAAAATACACTTTTGACATCGTTACGAATGTATTAATTTAGTGTGTTGGTGGTTTTTAAAATGCCATTGAGAAGGAAGAAATGTTCACGGTGAAATGAGAGTAACTTCCGAACAGGAACACTGTTATATTACATTTGAGAAAAATAAATATTGCTCGTAACTTTTCAATAACACAATTAGTGTATACCTATTATCGATTCAGTGTTCGTTATGGCGTTGCGTAGTTAATGTAAAATGTTCCGTATTAAATTACGTGTTAATAAGTAACAGTCAAGGGATTGTGTACCGACGTTTTCTTTTTTTGTCCCTACACATGTACAGCGTCAACAATTTAGACCAGTTTTCCAGCTGTGAAAATTCGGAAAAGAGATTCGAATTCAGCACGGAGTGTACAGGTCCGGCCTATTTTATTCCGAACTTATTTGTTGTTTGTTTTTTTTATACATTTTGAATTATTAAAATCTTCAAATCGGAAGTATTCAAAACGATCGATTGATATTCGGAAAAAAACGAAATAATCGACCGACTCCGCGTTCAACTCGAATCTGTTTTAAAGAATTCGTATCGGTTCGCAAAACCGATCGAACCGATCGCCGGAAAATCGACCCGAATGCCGAGTGTGTGTCAGACAAAGAATGAACATAATCCCTTACTGCGGGCAACAAGTCAGATTTTAAACATTGAGTATGAATATATTATGCGGCCACTTATATACTTACCGTTATAATACGATAAACGAACAAATTAAATCCATTGTGTTAACGTTTTGTCGGCAATATGCATCGGATAGCGAAATGTTTCGTTTTCTCGGCCTCTCGGGATATAATAAAATAGGTTCAACGGTTACAAAAAAAAAAAAAAAAAAAAAGCCATTTTGTTATCTAAAATTCACGGATATACGGTTAAAAGAGAATAAACGCTTCGCACCATAAACGACCCCGGGATTGATCGATCGTTTTTGTTTTTTTTTTTTGTTACATGCCCGTGCTTAGCTAATTGGGACGTATTTCGTTTGTAACAAACACGAGGAATAAATTAGGATTGAAAAAAAAAAAAATTTAAAATAACTAAATGTTATTTTTATTATTATTATTAGTAGTAGTAGTACGGTAGTTACTTATATAGGCGACGCGCGACGCACATGATCGCCGCGCGTTTCTTTCCGAGACCTATAAAAATCGTGTAAGATTTTACTGTTTCTTTTTCCGCGTTCCCCTTTCCTTTATTATTATTATTATTATTATTATTATCATTATATTAATGCACCGAGCGTGTTCCGGAAAGGCATTTTTATTTCATGCTTGTGAACGCACAAAGGATTTTTATATTATCCGTACTTATGTATAAATATATAACCGAAGGCGCTCCCGTAAGATAATTTTCAAGGGGAAGGACAAACTGCAACCGGGTCTCTGAACATGCATTATTTAAAGAATAATATATGCGGCTATAAGAACACAAGATCTGTAAAAAAAAAAAAAAAAGTTATGATAGATTCACTGCAAGGAGTTGAATCGATAATCGTCTAGGCTGTGCGTCAAGGATCGTGAAGAAAAGTTTTTTGTGGGTTTCAATATTTTCCGAAAAGAGGCGTAGGAAACACGTCCGCTCCTGCCTCCTCCTAATAGGCGCCCGTATACAAACAGTGTTGTAATCCTAAATAATGAGATGCATAAAAAAAAAAAAACAAAAAAACAATTTGTTTATAAAGTTCTCTTCATAAAATATATTCGCCTTTACGAAAGTCGAAGAATTTCTGGAATTTACTCAATTTTTATTTTTTTAGATTCTATGTGTGTTCTATGCTAAGTGAACTATACTACCTATGAGTGTTACTAAGAACTGTGTTATTCTTTATTCTCGGAAAACACTTTCTCGGTTAATAGAAACGCTCCGATTTGTTCATAGAATACCGTAAAAGACGTGGGTTTTACATTGTCACGGGCGGTACATTATTTGAAACGGTTTTGGAAATCCCTAATATTTTTACGGGAAAACTTGTTTGAAAACGCTTTTATGAATGCTTCGATTTTTTACGCATTACCCCAAAATATGCGGAATTTCCGTCCGATAGAACTCTATTTGAAATATTTTTCTGGATTATCGACAGTTTTTCTAAAACACTAAAAAAACAAACAATAGTATATTGTGTCGAAGTATAACTATCGGTTTTATTTTCGTTGGTTTTCGGGCTACGAGGTAAAAAACCTGCGCGACTATATAATGGTAAAATAACATTAACGGGTTACCGAACGCCGTTTAGAATCGGTTTTTCAAGATTTATCTACGTTTAACGTACGTAAACTTTAAATTACCCTACACTCTATACCGTCCCAACTACAAATTCTAATTTACTTTAACCTTTGGTGATGTTGAAAGTTAGCAGTATGGATAACTGGGTTGTAGGTATATATTATGTGAGTTTGCTTGAATTCGTATTACTGAAATATTTGCCGGTATCTTTCTTCTACTAAATTTTAAACTCGTATCGTCGTTTTTATTTCAAGACGAGGCGTGTCGTACGTAAGCAATGAAATATTATATATTAGCCGCTATTAAACTAAAAATAATCTTTATAGCGAATTATTATAAGAACAATATTGGGTTCCGTGTTCATATAAATATCGTGTTACTTACTTTATGTTTTTTTCCTCCACTTCTCCAACATTATACATGAAACAAAAATCAAAAAAAAAAAAAAAAAACAAACAAACTATTAAACGGGAAAAAATAATTTTAAAAAACCGCATCTGTCCGCCACATCATTGGAAAGGATTCTATGGAGAATTAACACGTGGGATACATATTAATGCTTTTGCGATACTATGTACCTACACGTGTTTTTGTGTACGTAGTACACACAATAATAAAATTATTATTATAATGTTTTACTTGTATTCAGTTTTGATCGCTATAGTTAGTAGTGCGGTCAGTGACGGCTTAAATATCATGGTTTTGGTGGTTCACCGAATCACTACGGACGGATGAAAGAGATTGGTTCGTTCAAATGTTGACGAAAATCCATAATCTGTAATTTCGTGCGAAACTCTAATGATTTTTTTCTATATAACCGCGCCGTTATTCGATTATTTTTATCGGAAACAAATCGAATTTACAGCCATTAAATCATGTACAATCTTATTGCATTTGTATTTTTGATTTTTGAGTAATGTTTTTTTTTTTTCAACTATAAGTATGCAGTTAAAAAAATGTTTTATGTGTCAGCACACTATGCTCGCGGAGTGTGTATTATATTTGTTTACTTAACTTGAACCGTCCAATAAAATATCTCAAGCCGCCTCCGTATAAGCACGCGCATTAGTACCATTATACCAATACCGGGTACGCTTCTTCAGACGACACGTCGTGGGTACGCGGGTGTATTGGAAAAACGAAAAGGATTTCGATTTCGTTTCGGAGGTCTCTCTCGTTGTGCACTGTATAGGTGTGTATATAGTGACGGCGGCGATGACAGAAATAAACTGATAGATATGATTACACAGACGGTCGTCGTCGTGACGTCGTCCGACGTTTTTGTGTATGATGTCGCGGCTATTTCAGTTGGCGGGCGCCCCCGCACAACACGTGGTCTATCCCCGATCGAGACGACGAAATGGAAAAAAAAAATAAAAAAAAAAATAAATAGGCCACAATGTTTGAAAACAACATTTTTTAAATTGTTTGTCCACTCGCCGTTTCTGTTCCGCGTTAACTGTCGATCGAAATAAACGATTACCAAACATACTTCTGAACACCATGCCCAGCATAAAACGTCATTTGAAATTCTCGTTCTGTTACTAATATACGTAGATACCATTACTAACACTGCTGCTCCAGAGACGGGTAAGATACTCGAGAACGAGCGTCTAGATACTCGATATTAGTTGCATTAATTTTCAGTGTCTAGATTTAAGGTGCTCTAGATACTTATGTAACAACAATATTGCAATACAGGACATACGATACTTAAATTTTACGCGTTTGAACACTAGATAAACTAAATAATTGTTCACGCGTAAAATATCTTTTTTTAAAAAAAAAAAGCCGGAGTTATTTACTTGAAACGGTTTTCGAAATCGGTTTCAATGCTTAATTTTGTATCGTAAGGAAATCCAGAAGAGGAAATTGTACAGTTTGTTCTCTTTTGAGCGAGATACTATCGTTATTAGATACATTGATTTCATTAGCGCTTACCTTTGGAAAAACGAAATAATGAGGCTTAAACAAAGTAGCGTCCCTTATAATGATTGAATTTAACCGAATTAAGACCATTAAGAAAAATTAGAAGTGGTGTTTAAAGAAAAGAAGTTGTTCTCCGACCATCACCTCGATTCAAGCACTGAATACATGATACTCGTGTGTCATGAAGACACTGCCCAATATTGATTAATTCTGCGACTACTACTAACTAATTTTATATGAATTTGGAGTCAATCGAGAAAATATCGCGTCTCGAAGTCATGTTGTAAAATTGCGTGTAAAATAGCATAATTTCTTTAACTCGCCCGCAATAATCAATAATAAAACTAATATTAAAATGCCGTACAACGCGCGCAATTCGTATTTTGGTTTTGTTGTACAAATTTTCAAGCGACACGCAAAGTATATTAAACGTTTGCATCATACATAAAAAAACATTGTCCATCTATTAGATAAAAATCTGCGAATGAATTTAAACGGATTCGAAAGCACCGAACGTTATTATCATAATAAATGAGATGCGCATTTTATATATTAAATTTTTGACGAAACTGGGAGCCTTAACAGTTCTGTTAACTATTTGATTTCGATTGCGGTGTAATCACTAACGAAAACGTTCGAATGCACTTAAATACGGCCAATTAAAAATAACATGTTTCATTTGATTTAGTAAGTACCTAATACCCGAACTAAAAAATTGATGGCAATCGTGGTTATTATGTTCCCACAAACGTCTCAGTATGAATTCGTTAATAAATCTCTAACGCTTAGTCAATTAGTATTATCATTATAAAAATAGACGTGTTTTTTTCGTACTTGAAAACTTAAAATATGTCGCCCTCCGAACCCGGTACGTTTGGGGCGGTCCCGTTAGACAAATATCAAATCGTATCGCCGCGAATATAATTAAGTAGGAAAATTAAAAATTTGCACGCAAAGGTTATTCGTTTATTTTTACACTTTTAAATATTAATTATCCGAGTTGATGTTAAATATTATACGTATGTGATTAATAATAGTTCCTAATCTGTGAACAAAAAAAAAAAAAAACCTCTTATTTTTAACACTATGTTCACGACTACTCAAATCTAAATTTATTCTTTGTGCGTAATAAATAAAATTGCAGAAGATTTCTTCTTGTAAAAATATTTATAATGAATATAGATGATGTATATTGTACATTTTTTTTTTTTTTTTAAATAAAAGCATAATATTATAAATTTGATATTAGACCGTTTATTTTTAAATAACAAAATACCACGTCTAAAAATTGCGTGTGATACATCAAATGCGAACGTTTGTTTCCGCCACATAAAATTAATTGCACGGACTATTATTATTATTCTTTTCTTTTCTTTCTTTTCTTTTTTTTTTTTTTATTTGATTAAATAATTTAAAATTTATACCTACGTATATATTACGAGCACATAATTAGTAAATGCATTTTTAGTGGACTGTACAAAAATAAATATTTACAAGATAATTCGTTTAGTTATAACATCTTTTGTTGGTTATAAATGTCATTTTAAATTTCGAGTGATTATTGTAGGACCTATATATTCGTTTTTTAAGATGATATTTGTCTTCGGAAAACCTTCTTTCGGTTAGTAAAACTTCTTCTATCCTTCCGTGCTTACCTTTCGAAGATGCGAAATTTTGACCGTTTATGTACTCGAAATATTCCGAAATAATTCGGAAATTCTAAACGGTTCTCCATCTTCTATACCTATGTCCATACGAAGATTTTTTACTCAATAAAACTCTATTTGGCTCAGGAAAAGTTCTCCAAATTAATTAATTTGAAATATTTTGGTATTCAAAATAAATAAACTGACTATACACTCGTTTTATTGTCATCGTGTTCTCGGCTATGTGGGTAAAAAAACCGCAACCAAAACAACTTTACCAGTTTACCGATTTTCGCTCAGAATCGGTTTTTATTTTTAATAACAATTATTTATTGTTTCTTTCTGTGCATAAACGAAACTACTCTATAGCCTATATCTGCCCAACTTTCTATCAACAACTGAGTGCAAAGTATGTCTGGTTATTTAATTTCAACTGCTCGGCAAAACATAGAAAGGATAATATTTCATCCACTAAAATTATTATACGAAACACCGTGTGATGTTAAATAGACACTGAACACCGATACAATCTATAATTTCTATGAAAAAAGTCAATACCCGTACATAATGCGCAATGTGACGTTCTCGCGAAGAATTTCAAGCAAAACAGCTTTTTTCTGTCCCGTCGAATTTTTTTTGGTACCGGGATCTATATAGATACCAAATATATTAAATTGTCGCCATATATTAGAGGCTCAAAAAGCCGGACGCACCTTAGGTCCATGTTATGGATACTGAATCGAATTTCGGGTGGAATGCCGTAATGTTTTAGAATGTAATTTCCAATATTGTTTTGCACGAGTGAAAAAGTGTACACGAGGGCTCATCCGTAACCATCACCCCTTATATTAATTTTCGTTCATCACTGCACTCGGCCATATGCACCCCTGTTCTCCCATATATCCCACACTGACACCGCGCCCGATGGGCGAATAACAAAGCGGATCATTTGACAAACATAATAAATATAGGGAGGGAATTTCAAAATAACCTGGTAAAAAGTATACTTTAAAATCCAAAGAAAACTCAAAATGTGCTTAGAATTCTAAAAAATCATTCATATATGCCTGGAAAATTTCGAAAACAGTCACTATGACTAGACATTATTATTTATTGTGTCTTTCCTCTAAATAAATCGCACGAACAATATAGCGACAGTAACTCGTATATAACATATTTAAATTCAATTTAATAAACAATTATTAAATTTAACAAAGAAAATTCACCCATCTTCTTATATAGCTTAAGCTAACCGGAAATCCGCAGATAGAGCCAAGTTAACCCCAAACATTAAGCCCACACAGGTTTAACATGTTTTTTTTTAATTCGGCGTTGCATACGTCGGAACAATTTTGAGACGTTTTGTATTTTTATTTACTCAGTGCAATTATATATTCATATAATTACAGCATTTACTCTAAGAGCATGGATAATACTCTCAGTGGCATAATTGCTTATGTACTTACGACTAGTAAAGAAATCGGACACGAGCGTGTAAGACCGATTATAATTTATAATGTCGTGCACATTACACAATATTATAATTTATAGTATCGTGTACATTACACAATCCATTTTTATGCCACCCCGGGAACACGATTTTATACCCGCGTAAAACACGAGATCGAGTTAAGTTTTCCTTGTTGTACCCGTGAAAACGCACACTTACGAGTGCGTACACTGTGAAAGCAGTCTATTAACATTTCTTGTCAATTAATTCGCCGTCATCAGTAAACGAGACACGGATAACTACGACGGCGGTGCATTAACTTCCGCAGTAGGTACTCTTGTTTAATTGCGTACTTATATTTTATATTCAAACGTTATTTATATGGCGTAAAATGAAACGGAATTTTACCATAAATAATTTGCCGTCAGTAAGTTATGTCGTTATCACCTGCAGTCATCGATATCATTCAAAATAAACTCTAGACAGCGTTAAAATTAGTGGCGTACTCGTACGGGAAGAGCTAAAAAGGCTTTGCCATCCCCCATATTTTTCGTATCAAAAAATAAATTAATAAATAACAAATATTCGCCTTTAAAAATTATTATCTTTTATAATACACGTTTTAAACGCGATCGTTCGGCTTCACGGGGTCCGCAAAAGGATTGCAACATTCACGATAGTATCGCACCGCAGAGTTGACTGCAACACCAGAGTCTGATGAACAATGAACAATTGATTACGATCGTCTGCTTTTATCGGTTTTTATTGTTATTGATATGACGTGTTTGATATGGCAATATCATTGCTAAAGGCCCAGTTTAATAACCAAGCTAATAATGCGACTCTGATTGCAATTCATTTGCACCACTATAAATCCAATATCAGTACAAGTAAAGTACGTATTGATAAACCCAGAGCACGCAACTGATTTTAACCCGATTTGTCACATTTTTATATAATAATTATACATTAATATTATATCAATACATTGTTAATATATTATTGACTTTTTCAAAATCGAACGGGTACTATTTTAATTTATTCCAATCGGCTGTGTTGTATTTTTATCGAAAAAATCAAGTATTTGTTTTCGACTGATTTTCGAAGCAAATCCGAAAACGCCGAATCGTTCGTGGTCGGAGAGGGGAAAAAAAAGGCCGAGCTAGTTAAAATACGTTAATTAGTTTTACCTGCAGCACCTCGGCGGTGGGTGTGTACTGTGTGTACATTTCGACACGATTTTCGAATAATGCATAAAGTGAAACTTTGTAAGAACGTACTCGAATTTAAAAAAAAAAAAATTATAATAATCATGATAAACGAAAAAAAAAATAATAAACGGTTCGCGTGTCAACAGTCTATAATAAATATTATATTTGACTAAAACTGAAGGGTAGTCGCGTTATTTTACTTGGCACGGTGAAATGAATCATCGACTAAAATGTTTAATTCACGTGATTCGGACACCGGAACTTACCGTACTTACCGTTTTTTATTATTATTTTTTTAGGGACCCGTATCCTCTTTGTTTTGTTTTGTTTTAACGAAAACTCGGTAATTTCAAACGCCCGAAAACAACTCAAACATCGCCAGAACGTTATAAAAATCCGATCGCGTTTTAACGGGACTAGCATAACAACAGCGTTTTTCGAATATTTCGGGGCTCTCGGGATTATTTTTCTAACCGAATTACGACCGAACATAGAATATAAATAGAACACAACGGAAACGACGCGTATAGTTTCGCCCGTTTGTTGTCCCGCCGAGCACCGAGAAAACCGCGAGGAAAATCACAACGCGGCGGACGGACGGACGGGAAAAAAGACGCGCGCGCACGTCGTGCGGTACACTCCCGATGCGTTCCTCGGCGCGCGTTCGGAACCCGAAACATTCCCGGCGGCCCGCGCGCGGAACCGCGGGACTTACGACTGTATGACTTAACGCGCGTACGACACGCGACGCTCGGCCGGGGGGCGGTTTTTTTTTTATGTTCTTCCCGTTTCTATTGTCGCGACGGAATACATTTTTTTTTTTTTTTTCCTATTTTTTCCCGAGACTGTTATAATTATCGTCGTCGGCACAGGTGCACGCGCGCACGACTCTACCGCAGGCACGCAAACGCGCCCTCGGACACCGGGCGACACACCTACGCGCACGTTATTCGTCGTTTTGTGTGAATACCGCGGCGGACCGTGTCGTTAAAACCGCCGAGTTTGTCGCCCGGGTAAACGAACGAACTCTGAAATATTATTATTATCATTGTTACCGTCGTCGTCGTCGTCGCGGCGGGCGGGCGTAATATCGTTAATGAGGGCTTAACGTTGGTTTGGAAAAAACTCGACGGTTCTCGGCAGAACGAACAGAAAAAAAAAAAAAAAATGTTAACAATAATAAAAACCCCCCCGGTTCACACGCCAAAGTTGGCTTACCGCTTTTAACGGGTTCGGCCTCTCCGCGACCGTTATAATGTACACGAGTGCATAATTCATAATACTTTACGTACCGAACCCCTCCCACACCCCTCCTCTCTCCCCCGACCGCCGCCCCCGCCGGATTAGTTGGTCGCACGCTAAGTCACTGTATACGCGCGTACGTTAAATTATTATTATTTTATACGGCGTGAGTGTTAAGTCCCTCGGGCTGAGAGCACGCCGTCGCCACCGCCGTACACGCGATTCCCGAAGAATATTTCGCTCCGAAAGCCGTCTCGTTGTTCCGATAAAAAAAATCGCGACGCGATTTACACCGTCACCGCCGCGACGAAACATTATTTCAGTAGATCACGACATTCGTTTTTCTTAGAGCACCGGGATGATATTAGGTCTAAGTGATTTTGTAAAATATAACTAGCAGTTACTGGGTCAGCGTTTGAGGAGTAGATTATTGAAATGTCGGAAAGTTCCGCAACAGAAGTGTGAAGGGTTGTCGGTTTAACAAAAAAAAGAGAGGAAATGACACGTTGGGGGACTCCTGCTGCAATTGGAGCCAGAGACGAGATTTCAAATCCTACTTTAAACAAATATTATTAAAGAAAATGTTTAACGCATATGTGATTGTTTTACCCACAATGATATGGCATATTATATTACACTGTTGACAAAGCATCACTATCAAGCGAACTCCGCTCAGAATCGATTTTCGGTTTGCATTGGTTAACCGTTGCGTACAGATACACATTAAATTCCCGTCTATACCCTACGTTTCCAACTAGCCACCTACAATAGTGGCTACACCCGTACCTATTATCTATCCTAGGACAGCTTCCTTTTTTTTTTTTTTTTTTTAATGCCACGGACGAATAACTTTGTAATTTTTCGGCGAACGCCGACATTTTATATATCAATTTTTTTATTAGGTTATCGTGTTGTAGATTTACCGTTAAAGAAAATACCGTTAGGTTTAAATATATCATTTTATTTCTAACGTTTTTATAATAGTTTAGATTCTACGATGTACGCGTTGGTTTTACTATGACGCGCTTTTCTTTGCGCGCGCGCGTGTGCGGGTGTGTCTGTAAACGACTTTTCCACCAACAATTTTGCTCCTTTCAAAAACTATACAAGAACTTTCTCGTAGTATTTTTGATCACCGATAAGGGCGTTTTATTTTTTTATTTTTCCGTGCGGAAATTTTGTTGATTTTTGAGTTACCTTGGACGACGAGGAAATATACACAACTAATAACAATACTCTACTCAGAGTCGTTTTTCACTAGCAATAATTTATCGTTTGCGCACAAATATCAATTTAAATTAATCAACACAACCACGTTTTCGACTTCTCTACTAAAACAGTGTCAGACGTTTTTTTTTTTTTTTTTTTTATTCGAATGTACCTAACGGCGACGGCAGCGATCAGGTTTTTCATTTTTTCCACGTTTTTATCGTTTGTTTTTTAGACATGTATGAAAATTTCCAATACGATAATAATTTAATACACATCAGAAGTGATATTGTTTGGTTACGTTTTTTTTTTTCACATGACTCGAACGTCTGTCTGCGATTGAAATATTATTTTGCGGTCCGTTCAAAAACTTATCGTTTAAAGGCATTTCTGTCGTTTACTTAAAGTGGTTTTTCATTTGGACAGCGACAGGGAGAAAAATAAAAAGCCAATGCATTACAAAAATGAAGTGTCATATATCACATATAGCGTCTCATAAACGCGCAACGACCGGAGCTTTCAAACGATGAATTATTCGTTAGATACCTACTACAATTTTCGATGAGTTATTTGAGAATGTTCTTTCGTTTTATTTTTCTGCTATGGTTGTAAAAAAAAAAAAAAATAAAAATATTTACAAACGAACGTGAAGTGTTATGTTATTAAGATTTTCAATAAAATTCCTCGTGTTATTTTATGGCCGTAAATTAACTTTAACGAATCATAGAATAGCAAACGGTAATATTTCTATATAAATCCAAAATAATATGTAAATTTTTTTAAATTTTTTTAGTAGGTATAACTTTTCCATCATTTTTTTTACGAATCAGGTCGTTATATATGTATACAATTTTTTTTGCTTTTTATTTTTTTTTTATATAAAACTCGAAACACTCAAATTATCAATATAGTTATAGCCGGGATGAATGAATTGTGTTATTTTTTAATTTTCGAATATAAATTGTATTTTATTGAAAAGAAATCACGAAGGGTTTTTCGTGACATGGCGGTTTACTGCAGGTTTCGGTATAGAAACCCACTTAGTCTATGTACATTGTACACGTATCGCTATTCGTATATTTTCGTACTCATATTGGGTCGTTTTTGTATATACATTTTTTTTTTCTTTTTACACAGTCAGGTCACTTTTCTATTTTTATGATTTTGTCATTCCTATCCTCTACCTTTTTTCTTGGTTTTTTTTTTTTTTTGAGGAGACTTCAAAGAACGAGTAATTTCGGGTTTTCTTCGTCTCGGCTTGCCAATACAGTACCTATATATTGGATGCCAAACACGATAAACCGTCCCCGAGGACGCGAACTCCGGTGACAAGGGTTTTGTGAGCTCAGGTCGAAGAAATACAATTATTTGTCCCACTTCCGCTCCCCCCCCCATTTACCCTCGGTTCATCGCCGTCGTCTTCCGATCACCCTCCGTCCGCCGCAACAAGTATACAAAAGGGACGTTTTTATTTCCCCTCCGTCGTAGCTCACCTATAAAAACGCCCGTCCCTCCCCTCCCGCAGACGTTTTCCGGACGTGACGTATCCGAGGATTTTAAGTCCGCGCGCAGGTCGAAGAGAAAAAACAATTAGATTTATTGCTATACACCGCAATTCCCTTCCTACCTTTTTATCTACCTACCTATACATATATATATATAGGGCCAATGCGATCGTACAATGAATTCCGAAATTGGATCTTTGTTCTCTCTTCTCGACAAGTAACAACTCGGTG